ACCAATATTATGACCTATTTGAAGTTTAGACATTTAGTGGATATACCCCTATGATGTTCTGACTCTTCAATAGAGCAAAGTTTTTAAATCAACTTTATTGAACTTCTAACAAATATCAACTTAATGGTTTCCTTTAAGTACTAACTATAAAAATGACTTAACATAATGATATTTAGTGGGCATACCCCTATGATGTTTTGACTCTTCAATACAATAAAATATTTTTCAGTGACAACACTGACCCTATGAGTTAAAACAAAGTAAAGTTTCTGTTTGAATACTTATTTTCCACAGTAACGATTACTGTAGGGATATACATCTAAACTGAAACATTTAGTTGATACAAAGTACCCTTAATTGTAGTAACACCTCTACTCTGATTTACCATCAAGTAATCTGTATATATATATATATATATATATATATATATATATATTAGAATTGCTAAGACCAACATAACCCTCCTTAAAAATCTTCCTTTCATCACACAGTATCTCTGGCACATAATTAGCTGGTGATTTAAGTTTCATGTTAGAATTACTCGTGTAAAATTGAATTCTCCTTCCTTCAGTGAATAGTAAATGCATACACCTTCTGTTGAAACTGCTTTAAGAGTCTTTTGCAGTCTACATAATTTTTAAGTAGTTTAGTTGAATATTAGGTCCAAATGTACATGAAGATGGACCATCTCCAGTTATTCAGCAAGGGGTTAATTGAATTCACTGAGGCAATTCCTCCCCTTTCCCCCCAACCTTTCTAATATAAGTTTAATTTTCCTTGATAAATAAGCTCCTTTTTTACCACTAGTATTATCCTGTCATTACCTTCATTCAGCAGCTTATCTAATCACCGACTGCTGGGACTTGTATTTGTGGTCTCAAATCAGTCCTGCTGAATTGTTATCTTTAGGCAGATTAGACAGTGTTTTTATACTATTTAGTACCATCTTGCTATCATCTCCACTCAGCAACTTTTTTTTATTACTGATTGACTCCACTGTGAGGACTCCATACTTACCAATCTTCCTGTGCAGTCTCAATCAGTCCTGCTTAATTGTTTACATTGCTGTATTAATTTATAATACTAGTAGGCATTTTTAACAGGGTATGGATTTCTAATACCTTTTATATGTTCACTGTTTGTACACAAGCATATTCACCACATGTTAAGATTTGTTATAATTAAAATTTATTTATTTTTTTATTTTATGGATCTAATACTATCTCTGGTAGCAACTAGTCTAGTATCTCTGAGATTTGACAGTTAGTCATAATTTCTGATTTCTATTTCAGACTGTGTAGGTACACTATTTTTCTTTTTTGATCATTCCTATCTGGGGTTACCCCCATTTTCTCAGTGTACCTAATTGTTGGCTCTATTTCTGCTCTTTTTCTTAGATGGAAATATGTACTTACAAGCCTTGCAGAGACCGAATCTATAGGTCCCTTTAGTTTAGGTAAGCCAATTTTGAAGTGGGTGGTGGGGATGCCAAATGGCTGTGTACAAGCAAGTCCTGTAAATTCCTTGCTCTCCGGGCTGTTGGTTCTGGGTGATCAAGTAATGTATTATGTAAAATAGGATTATGACAGAGTATGGGCCAATTTTTAGATAGAATGTTGGCACAATAGACCAACCACTATCAAATGTGGCAATGCATCTAGGGGTGGAGGATGTTGTCTTAGTGCATGTAGATCTAAGGCTGGTAAGTCTGTCTGTTTGGCCAGCTCGCTGAAAGGCCTTCTTGAGAACCCTGTTGGGGTAGCCCAATGACTTGAAGCGTGTTCTTAGTAGTTGGAATTCTTGGTAGAAAGAGGTGTTTTCGGAACAGTTTCTTCTGGCACAAAGGTACTGGCTGTACGGGTTTGAGGCCCTGAGATTATAGGTAAAGATGGGTCTGTATAGTGCCATCCTCATTGAGAACAATCCGAAGGTCCAAGAAGACTAATTCTTGTTCATCAATGACTGATGTCAATTTTAAATTGACCTCATTGTGGTTAAGGGCATCAACAAATTGCTCAAAAATAGCAACTGAGCCAGTCCAGAAGAGCAGCATGCCATCGATGTATCTGTACCATTTGAGAATGTAACCATGGCACAGGTTATATTGTGGTGATTTGATGACATGCTGCTCCCACCACCCAAGGAACAAGTTAGCATATGTGGGGGCACAAGCAGTGCCCATAGCATTGCCAGTGAGTTGTAGATATTAACTACCATTGAATATAAAGTAGTTATGTGTCAGGATAAAGTTTAGTAAATTCAATATCATGTTCTTCTTAGGAGAATCATAGGTAGATTGATCCAAGAAGAATTCACAGGCCTGGATTCCTTTGTTGTGTGAAATGTTAGAATACAATGATACCACATCTAAGCTTGCCATCAGAGTGTAGGGTGGGACCTGTAGACCCTTAAGGGTCAGTAGTGTTGACTTAGTGTCCTGTAAGTATGATGGCCGGCCTGTTACCATAGGTCATAGAATTTTGTCAATAAACCTACCGGATCTTTCAGTCAGGCAGTTATTCCCTGACATTATAGGTCTACCAGGTGGATTATTCATATCTTTGTATATCTTGGGTAGACCATAAAATGTAGCTATGGTGGGGTTTTTATGTGGTAGTATGTATTTGTATTCTTGGGAACTAATTATCCGTAGGGTCCTTTAGCTTAGAAATTCCACCATTTAAAAGTGAAGGGGTCTCTTATTCTTAAAGGAATACCTCTTCAAAAAAATAATAATTTTGATACAGTTATAAGTTGCTCTAAGGCAGGGGTTCTCAACCTTGCCCTCAAGGACCCCCTACCAGTTCAGGGTTTAGGGATTACCTGGGTGTGTCTAAGGTGTTTAGAAAAAGAACAAAAAACACCTTAGAGTCTAAGGTTTTTTTTTCTTCCCTTTTTCTAAACACCTTAGACACACCCAGGTAATCCCCAAATCCTGGACTGGTAGGGGGTCCTGAGGACTGGGTTGAGAACCCCTGCTCTAAGGGTTTATATGTGGTGTACAAAAAGTTACAGATTTACCTAATAGTAATAATTTTCAAATATATTTTTTTGGTTAAATAGTTTATGCTTTATTTCTTTTTTTGAAGAGGTATTCCTTTAAGAATAAGAGACCCCTTCACTTTTAAATGGTGGAATTTCTAAGCTAAAGGTCTCTTTAGTTTGAAAACTAAAAATTTTAACTTTTTGGTGTATTTGTATATTATTCTACCTTATGTAGTTTCTCTGCTTGATCGTTTTTTTTGGTTAAACATTGATTTAATATATCTATAGACTTTAATGATTAAATTAGTGATTAATATAATTGGATTAATAAGTGCTGCTAATATTTAGTGCATAGAATAAATGAGTGCTTCAAATCATATGACTAACACCTTTCTCTTTAGCAGAATTTTGGGGGCTGTAATTAATTCTCTTTCTATTACATGAATTGTGGCCGAGACAATCACGTCCGTTTGCTATGGAGATAATACCGCTGGAACGCATATTGGAACGCGGATGTATCCGCGATGTCACTTCCGGTTTCAGCGATGATGACGATTTCCGTTTCATTCCGCAAAGGGCGCTAATTTCAAATTGGAAGAGTGAGAAACAGCTGATGGAGGTGGTTTCTTCCTTCAATCGAAAAAGAAAAGGATCCACACACCCACTGAATCCACCAATGGACTTGAGGGATTAGCCCTATTTAACCCCTTAAGGACGGAGCCAAATGTACACGTTGTGAACAAAACAAAATGTAAACAAAACCTGGCATTTGCGCTACATGTCTGTCCAACCGTAATTCACCTCTTTCATAGTAAATGCACCCACCCTTATTATATATCATTTTATTCAGGGGAAACAGGGCTTTCATTTAATATCAAATATTTAGCTATGAAACATAATTTAATATGAAAAAAATTGTAAAACATACGATTTTTTTATTTTATTTTTTTTGTTCTACATGACATTTTAACGGTCAATGTCATAATACTGTTTGCTTTTATTGCAATAAAATACACATATTTGTATTCAGTAAAGTCTCACGTGTAAGACAGTACCCCCTGTGTACAGGTTTTTTTTTTTTAATTCTTTATTTTTAGTTCGACACCAAGTACCACTGACCAGCAAAAAGTGGCCCTCGCAGGGGTCCTCATGTAACATACATTGCAGTGAGTTATACAATGAAGAGTAAAAGGTTTGTCGGATGGTCTGGTTATCGTGGACCGTGTGGTGCCTGTTTTCGGTTTTGGGTCCGTTCAGGACCTTTTATCAAACGTGAACAAAAACTAGTACTTTACAGTGTATTTAACATTGAGACATCGTAATAACCTTCAGTCTTACACACTCCTAATTTCCGTCTAGCCGTTGCGTCTTGGTTTGGGTCTTTGTCGACTGCGTCTCCCGGCGGTCATGTCAGCCGGCTGTCCTAAGTTTTGGAGTCTCGTATATTCAGTGGTTTGAAAAGTTGGGGAGGAGGGGGGGGGGGGCACCAACCGGTGCTGTGGGGATGGAGCAGGGGGGGGAAAGGAAATAGTTGGTATATCTCGGGGCGCACGGCGGGAGGAGGTCCGCCAAACCACTGCGAACCTTTTCCAGGCTATATAACATTTTCGTTAGCGTACACTTCCCAGGGAAGCCAGATTTTTTGGAATGTTTTTTCCGTATTTCTGATTTGTGCTGTGAGTTTGTCCATCAAATAGGAGTCTTTGATTTTAACTATCACGTCGTTGTCTGTGGGGACTGTAGGTTGAAGCCACATTTGCGCGAGGGCTCTTCTCGCAGCCAGTGTGAGTTTATTTAATAGTTGTTGCTCCTTCCTAGGAAGGCCGTCCGTTGGTCGGGACAGTAGCATCGCCCAGGGATCTAAGTCTATGTGTTGCGTGAGTACCTCTTTCACTAATGTTTGGACCCGTTTCCAGTATTTGGTCACTTCAGGGCACTCCCACCACATGTGAACAAAGGTGCCTTTGCCTCCGCAGCCTTTCCAGCATGTGTCTGTCGTGGTTTTCCCCATCTTATGGAGTTGTACCGGTGTTGTGTACCACCTCATGAGCATTTTATAGGATTGTTCCTGGTGTAGTACACAAATTGACGTCTTGGCCGTCGCCTCCCAGATATCCACCCAGTCCTCCCCTTCTATAGCCCCCCCTAGGTCCTCCTCCCACTGGTGTATATATCTAGGGTCTGCGGTTCCCTTTTCTGGGGAACTCAGCTGCGCATATATGGCCGTGATCAGTCCCTTTTGTGTAGATTCTGCGTTGCACATTTGTTCGAAATTTGTCATAGGGGTCTGTGCTGCTTTTTTAATATCTGGGTTTTTGGCAAAGTCTCTCAACTGTACATATCTGAATACGTCTTTGGTTGTCAGGGGGGACATGGCTTTTAGGGTGTCAAAGGTTTTGAAGGAATCGCCGTCATACATATGTCCGTATCTTTGCATTCCTGTGTCTTCTATCCCCCTAAAATCTCGTGCGGTCAGCCCGGGTTCGAATGCTTTGTTCCGTAAGTATGGAGTCAGTGGCGAGGGTGTGTGTTTTAGTGCGTATTTGGTGGCTGTTAGATCCCAGATCCTTATGGAATTAAGGATCGCCGGACAAGAGGTGCGTAGGGGGGGTCTGTCTTGTTTGGGTACCCAGATCCAAAATTGTGGGAGGTCTGTACACATAAGTTTTGTCTCTAGGTCTACCCACCTGTGCCCTGTGTACAGGTTTTATGGCATTTTGGAAAGTTACAGGGTCAAATATAGCACGTTACATTTGAAATTGAAATTCGCCAGATTGGTTACGTTGCCTTTGAGACTGTATAGTAGCCCGGGAATGAAATTTACACCCATAATGGCATACCATTTGCAATAGTAGACAACCCAAGGTATTGCAAATGGGGTATGTCCAGTCTTTCTTAGTAGCCATTTGGTCACAAACACTGGCCAAAGTTAGCATTAGTATTTGTTTGTGCGTGAAAAATGCAAAAAAAAAATGACAATTTTGGCCAGTGTTTGTGACTAAGTGGCTACTAAAAAAGACTGGACATACCCTGTTTGCAATACCTTGGGTTGTCTACTATTGCAAATGGTATGCCATCATAGGGGTAATTTTAATTCTTGGGCTACCATAGGGTCTCAAAGGCAACGTAACCAATCTGGCAAATTTTAATGTGAAAAAAATGAAACACAAGCCTTATATTTGACGCTGTAACTTTTGAAAACACCATAAAACCTGTACATGAGGGGTACTGTTGTACTCGGGAGACTTCGCTGAACACAAATATTTGTGTTTCAAAACAGTAAAAAGTATCACAGCAATAATATGGTGCGTGAAAAATGCAAAAAAAGTAACTTTTACTGGCGATATCATCGTTGTAATACATTTTTATTGTTTTACACTAATATTTGTGTTCAGCCAAGTCTCCCGAGTAGAACAGTACCCCCCATGTACATGTTTTATGGTGTCTCGGAAAGTTATAGGGTTAAATATAGTGCTAGCAAATTAAATTCCCTTTTTCATGTATGTGTGTATATAGCTATATAATTTTTTAAAAATATTTTTATATATATATATATATATATATATATATATAGTGATATATACGTATATATTTATGTATATAGATATATTATTTCGTTCTACGTGTATTTTGAGATAGAGAGAGAGAGAGAGCAGGGACGTATTAGCCGCGAGGCAAACAAGGCGGCATTTTTCAGGGGGCGGCAAAAAACGCCGCCCCCCAAATGCCCAGGCAGATGCCTTGTTAGCCTTGCGGCTAACTGACATCCCGGGCGGCCGGCGAGGGAGCACTTCCCATGAGCTGACTGCTCAGCTCCCTCGCGCACCGCAAAGTGAGGCTGGGAGCCGGAAGATGACGTCATCTTCCGGTTCCCAGCCTCACTCTGCAGCCGACGCGCGAGGGAGCTGAGCAGTCAGCTCATGGGAAGTGCTCCCTCGCCGGCCGCCCGCCCGCCCTGCCAGCGCCGCCCGCCCGCCCTGCCAGCGCCGCCCGCCCTGCAGCCACTGGACCACCAGGGAGAGGGCCCCCCCCCCAGCACTCCCAAAGGTAAGGAGGCAGCACAAAACCAGGATACACCACTGAGAGAGAGAGAGAGAGATATATATATAAATTTCACAATACAGTTAGAACGAAATAACACACATCTATATATTTTTTAATTATTTATTTTTAATTATTTTTTTAATTTTATTTTTTAACGTATTTACATTTTATATATAATAATCAGTATCAGTCTACGTGTAATTTGAGATATATATATATATATATATATATATTTATTTATTTATTTTTATTTTTATTATTTATTTATTTTATTTTTTTAAACTTTATTTTAATTTTATTTTCAGCCAGCAGGGCGACCACCTGTCAGCCCCCCTGCTGGCAATGCAGGAGGCAGCTACCCCACTCTCAAATGGCCGGGGGGCTTCGAGGAGGACGGACGTGCCGCGGGGGGCTCCCTGGGAGTCCCCCCCACCGCGATCGCCGGCGTGGGATTGCCGGCGACCGGGTAAGTACCGAAAGACCGGAGGGCGAACTATTACGCCCGGCGGCGTTTAGAGCCGCTTAGAATAGGGCGTAATAGTACGCCCTCCGGTCTTAAGGACACAGGGAGGGGGGTCGTTTTAGGATATATTTATTTTGTACTTTGTATATAGAATGCACACTATAACAATCTCAAAAAAACTTAGCTTTATTATGTACAAAAAAGTACCAGAGTGAAAACATATAAGATAAACAAAGTGACAGAAGCAAGGGCAAACACAATAAAACAATAATAAATTATCACAAAAATTCTTACAAGCCTCAAGACAGAAACACGAGTCATCAAACCCCCCAACGTTTCGGCACCAACTGGCTGCCTTTATCAAGGGTACCTGTATCCATGTTCAAATGTGTCTGCTTTTAAAGCCCTCTTACAGCTGATGGCCATCAGCACAAAATTGTTACCAGCTCAGGAAGTGACATCATCACCTCAAGTCCTGGCCCAATATTTTAATACAAAAAAGATTAGGTGTACACTCAGTATTGGAAATTAATGATAAAAACCACCACTGGTGTGCATATGGAGATCTTACAAATTTGTTGACTCACCCATATGGGTTAACATACATATGTATGGAAAATGTGACTCATAGCAATATATCTGAAACAAATGTAAATGCAAGAAATAGTGCAGATAACGTTTTCAATAAGTGCAGTGAGAGAATATTCTATATGGTCTCACTCACATGTAGCAGAGCCCTATAGGATAGGCTCAGATCTCAATGGCCTGCGTGTGCTTATGGTGACACAGTACCCAATCGGTCCTCTAGGCATCTGGAGATCCTTATGCATACATGAGAGAGAGAGAAAACAAGGGGAAGAGGAGAACCCCTAGTGCGGTCAATCCCAATGTACAATGTCAAATACTGCAGAAAAAGTGGCTTCTCACCTGATGTGGAGCCCTATACCTGGCTCCTGGTGTGTAGGCGTCTGTGCCTTTAAGGGGGCAACTACCCTTCTTTAAGCAGCAACAATGGAGGGTGGATTCCAAATATAAAACAAAATTTATTAAATAAAGTAGTAAAAACTTACAAATAAAATATGAACAAAATTGTGAGAAATTATAAAATGTGGAATCTTCAATACTCCAGCCGAAACATGTTTCACTGTACCCCGACAGCTTTTTCAATCGGTAATATAGTTGCTGCTGTTACTTGTTTAAATACTTTGTACTTCCTCCTGTGTGGTCCTTCAAACTTCCCTCCCTCCAATCCGCTGGCGTCCTTTTTCATGGACAGCTGTACTGTGTTAGTAATGAGAATGCTCTGGTCTCGGAACAAGTCACGTGACCCGAAGCATCACGTGCCGCATCACAAATTGGGCGTGTTTTCAATGTAGGGCTCACAGTTCCATATCGTCCATTTTGAAGTTGGGCAAAATAACCCTTCCTTCAACCAAGTCCGTTCCTATTTACAAATCAGATGCTC